GGAAATATTTAGCAGAGAAGTAATAAATCATATCTTGGGGACTACGCACACAACCAGGATCAAGAGAATTAAACCATATCTTAGCATCACCCTTTAATGAGAACGGAAATATTTTAAGGATATAAAAGTAGCGAGTTCTCTCATCAGTAGTGAACAGGGTGGCTATATCATTTAATTTAGTAGGATGTGCCACAACAGTTTCAGATTCATAGCCATGGAAAGGATCAGATTCAACCAAAGTAATTATATCAGGATGAACAGAGAATTCATAATCCTTATCAGTAACACAGATAGGTGAAGTAGCAAAAGCAGGGTCGGGTTTCATTCTAGCATTTAGAGATTGCTTATTCCATTTAGCTAATAACCTCTTGAGTTCTCATCTATCTTTGCAAGCTAAAATAGCTAAATAAGCTTCTTTATCAAAAACATAACCCTCGGGAATAACAGGCAAGTCTTCATCATCAATTTCATCAGTATTATCAGATTCAATATTTTCAATCTCTCTAGCCCTAGCAAGTTGTTCATCAAGAAATTCACCAAGTGGCACAATAGTATCAAGCATAGAAGTAGTTTCATCATAAGTATCATGTATAGCAGAAGTGGCATCATCAATAACATGCGACATATCAGAACGAATAGCAGAAGTAGGTTTAGGTGTCGCAAGCTTACTCAAAACAGAAGGTGAATCAAGTGCGGAGCTAGATGGCAGTTCCTTACCTCCCCTCGTAGTTGAGGGATAAATCTTGGTTCTTGGATCTTTCAAGTTCTTCATAATGATAAGCAGATATATATCCCAAGTGACTCAAAGAATAGAGTTATGCTCCCCGGCAACGGCGCCAGAAAATAGTCTTGATAACCCACAAGTATAGGGGATCGCAATAGTTTTCGAGGGTAAAGTATTCAACCCAAATTTATTGATTCGACACAAGGGGAGCCAAAGAATATTCTCAAGTATTAGCAGTTGAGTTGTCAATTCAACCACACCTGGAAACTTAGTATCTACAGCAAAGTATTTAGTAGCAAAGTAATATGATAGTAGTGGTAACGGTAGCAAAAGGTAACAATAGTAAAAGTAATGTTTTTGGTATTTTGTAGTGATGATAGCAACAGCAACGGAAAAGTAAATAAGCAAAGAACAATATATGGAAAGCTCGTAGGAAATGGATCGGTGATAGAGAATTATGCCGGATGCGGTTCATCATGTAACAGTCATAACCTAGGGTGACACAGAACTAGCTCCAGTTCATCAATGTAATGTAGGCATGTATTCCGAATATAGTCATGCGTGCTTATGGAAAAGAACTTGCATGACAGCTTTTGTCCTACCCTCCTGTGGCAGCGGGGTCCTTACGGAAACTAAGGGATATTAAGGCCTCCTTTTAATAGAGTACCGGAACAAAGCATTAACACATAGTGAATACATGAACTCCTCAAACTACGGTCATCACTGATAAGTATCCTGATTATTTTCACTTTGGGGTTAACGGATCGTAACACATATAGGTGACTATAGACTTGCAAGATAGGATCTAGAACTCTCATATATTGATGAAAACATAATAGGTTCAGATCTGAAATCATGGTACTCGGGCCCTAGTGACAAGCATTAAGCATAGCAAAGTCATAGCAACATCAATCTCAGAACATAGTGGATACTAGGGATCAAACCCTAACAAAACTAACTCGGTTACATGATAGATCGCATCCAACCCATCGCCGTCCAGCAAGCCTACGATGGAATTACTCACGCACGGCGGTGAGCATCATGAAATTGGTGATGGAGGATGGTTGATGATGATGATGGCGACGGATTCCCCTCTCCGGAGCCCCGAACGGACTCCAGGTCAGCCCTCCCGAGAGGTTTTAGGGCTTGGCGGCGGCTCTGTATCGTAAAACGCGATGAATTCTTCTCTCTGATTTTTTCTCCCCGAAACACAATATATAGAGTTGGAGTTGGAGTCGGAGGAGCTCCAGGGGGGCCACGAGGTAGGGGGCGCACCTTAGGGGGGCAGGCGCGCCCCCACCCTCGTGGACAGGTGGTGGGCCCCTGGCCTTCATATTTTGCAGGTATTTTTTATATTTTCCAAAAAGTTGCTCCGTGAAGTTTCAGGTCATTCCGAGAATGTTTGTTTCTGCACATAAATAACACCATGGTAATTCTGCTGAAAACAGCGTCAGTCCGGGTTAGTTCCATTCAAATCATGCAAGTTAGAGTCCAAAACAAGGGCAAAAGTGTTTGGAAAAGTAGATACGACGGAGACGTATCAGACGTGCAACAAAGAGTCACTCCAAAGTCACTAATAGTGGAGAATAAATGAAGAGATTACTATAGGGTATGAAAGCGCCTCAAAGTTATTCTTTCTGATCGATCTATTGGGTTATTCCTATAAGTGTCACAAATAGCCCTAGAGTTCATACTAAAATAACACCTTGAGACACACATCAACCAAAACCCTGATGTCACCTAGATACTCCAATGTCACCACAAGTATCCGCGGGTTTGATTATACGATATGCATCACACAATCTCAGATTCATCTATTCAAACCAACACAAAGAACTTCAAAGAGTGCCCCAAAGTTTCTACCGGAGAGTCAAGACGAAAACGTGTGCCAACCCCTATGCATAAATTCACAAGATCACAGAACCCGCAAATTGATCACCAAAACATACATCAAGTAGATCACGTGAATATCCCATTGTCACCATAGATAAGCACATGCAAGACATACATCAAGTGTTCTCAAATCCTTAAAGACTCAATCCAATAAGATAACTTCAAAGGAAAAACTCAATCCATTACAAGAAGGTAGAGGGGGAGAAACATCATAAGATCCAACTATAATAGCAAAGCTCGCGGTACATCAAGATCGTGCCAAATCAAGAACACGAGAGAGAGAGAGAGAGAAAGAGAGATCAAACACATAGTTGCTGGTACATACCCTTAACCCCGAGGGTGAACTATTCCCTCCTCATCATGGAGAGCGTCGGGATGATGAAGATGGCCATCGGTGATGATTTCCCCCTCCGACAGGGTGCCGGAACAAGATCCCAATTGGTTTTTTGTGGCTACAGAGGCTTGCGGCGACGGAACTCCCGATCTAGGTTCTGTTCTGGAGGTTTGGGGATATATAAAAGGTGTTGGCATCGAGAACAAGTCAGGGGAGTCCATCAGGGGCCCACAAGGTTAGGGGCGCCCTAGGGGGGGGGGCGCCGCCCACCCTTTGTAGTGCCCTCGGGACTCCTGTGGTGCATCTCCGGTACTCTATGGGCTTTTTTTGGTCCATAAAAAATCATCGTAAAGTTTCAGGTCAATTGGACTCCATTTGATATTCCTTTTCTGCGAAACTCAAAAATAAGGAAAATACAGAAACGGGTACTGGCTCTAGGTGAATAGTTTAGTCCCAAAAATCATATAAAATAGCATATAAATGCATATGGAACATCCAAGATAGATAATATAATAGCATGGAACAATCAAACATTATAGATACGTTCGAGACGTATCAACTCCTACATATTCTACGAAGATCTTTATCGGTTGAACCGTTATGACAACATACGTAATTCTCTTTGTCCATTGGTATGTTACTTGCCCAAGATTCGATCGTCGGTATCCATATACCTAGTTCAACCTCGTTACCGGCAAGTCTCTTTACCCGTTCTGTAATACATCATCTTGTAACTAACTCATTAGTCACTTTGTTTGCAAGGCTTCTTATAATGTGCATTACCGAGAGGGCCCAGAGATACCTCTCCGATACTCAGAGTGACAAATCCTAATCTTGATCTATGCTAACCCAACAAACACCTTCGGAGATACCTGTAGTGCATCTTTATAATCACCCAGTTACGTTGTGACGTTTGATAGCACACAAGGCATTCCTCCGGTATCCGGGAGTTGCATAATCTCATAGTCGAAGGAATATGTATTTGACATGAAGAAAGCAATAGCAATAAAACTGAACGATCAATATGCTAAGCTAACGGATGGGTCTTGTCCATCACATCATTCTCCTAATGATGTGATCCCCTTTATCAAATGACAACACATGTCTATGGTTAAGAAACTTAACCATCTTTGATTAACGAGCTAGTCTAGTAGAGGCTTACTAGGGACACGGTGTTTTGTCTATGTATCCACACATGTATCAAATTTCCGGTTAATACAATTCTAGCATGAATAATAAATATTTATCATGATATAAGAAAATATAAAATAACAACTTTATTATTGCTTCTAGCGCATATTTCCTTCAGCACCCTCGGCGTGCTACACATGTTTGTAGGATGAAGACAATGTGAATCACATTGTCACTCAATGCGAGGTGTGGAATGGTTGTTTCAACACGCTGCAGGTGAACGTGGTCATTCTGGAGGTGAATGATTCTTCCATAGAATGGTGAGCTCGGACACGGGACAGTTTTGGACAGTCGGACAAATGGGGTTTCGACTCAATGGTGTTCGCCACCGCCTGGCATATGTGAAAACAAAGGAACGCGAGGGTGTTCAATCTCGTGGAACATATCAGAACTCCAAGTGCAACAAATTCTAGAGGAGATCAAGGCTTGGAAACAAGCCGGTGTGGGAGTGGTAGGGCCGCGTAGATCCGTGAGGGAGTAGACTAAGGTTTTCTTGTTGGTGTATGTATACCTACGGTGATGTACACTCTTGAAAAAAAATCACAGCCCTGCAAAAAAAATCAAAGGTTATACTTTGTAATCTGATATTCCCTCCGTTTCAAATTACTCGTCACAGAAACGGATATATCTAGAACTAAAATACATCTAGATACATTCATACTTGCGACAAGTAATTCAGAACGGAGGGAATACATGCTATACTTTGCAAACTGCAACTGCGGTCGCGAATTACAGAGTTATGTACAGTTGATTGTGAATCTTGTTGCTCTATGCAAACAGTAAAATCCTAAAACTATTTACATAATAATCTTTAAATTCTTTTTTCCGCAAAAAATCATCTTTAAATTCAATGCCCCCCTAAAGAATAAATCCCCTTGTGTACAAAAGGACGAGCAAGGACACCATGGTGACCACATTGATCATCCTCCTCGCCTTCTCCACCCTCCACCTTCCACCAGACAATCCATGGTCCACCATTTCTCCATTGGAAGCCAACAAAGACGATCCATCCTCCTCTACCACGTCGATCGCCTCCATCTTCTTCTCAACACGAACGACATTGCATTGCTCGCATGTGCCATCGTCCCCCGCCACCGCAACCTGAACCACAGCCGGTGGAACCATTTCGTCATGTACAACCACCACCAAGTGCCCGTCTGATTTTGATGACCCCTCGTGATCCGACGCCGCAATCGCAATCCTGTGCGGCGCGGTGAGCACTGGCTCGTCGTTCGTGGCGGCGGCGACGGCCTTCCTGTGGAAGAAGCTCTCGTCTTCGATGTGGTAGCGGCTCGCCGTGCGCACCTCCTGCGCCAGCGCGCACGGCCAGCAGAACAGCCACCGTGCGTAGTCCGTGGCCGACTTGGAGCCGCAGCAGGCGGCGCTCCCCGGGAGCCGGAACTTTCTCCTCATCTGGATCCTCCAGTACCCGCCGTAGAGGAGGCCGCCGGCGCAGAGCAGCACGCCGGCGCTACCGAGTACGTCGCCGACGGCCACGTCGTGGACGTGGAGCGCCGTGACGCCCAACACCCACAGCGGCGCGAAGCATAGGAGCGCGAACGTGGTGGCGTGCACGCACGCGTTGCCGAAGCCGAGCCTCTCCGCGTTCCACCCGAAAACGCAGAAGGTGCAGGAGAGGGAGAGGCAGCACCCCGCCGCCGCGCCCCCGCCGCAGTCGAACATGCCGCCCGCCCACTCCGGCTCGACCACCGCCACGGCGTGCGCCGCCTTGGTGGGGCATTGCTGCCTCAGCGGGGCGGCGTCGGAGGACGCGGCGAGGTCGCCGCACGGGTCTTTTCCCAGCGGGCTGCACACGGTGTACACGACGGCGGCGAACGGCGCACCGACGCCGAGCGCGAAGAAGCCGTCCTCCGCGAGCTCGGGGCGGGACCTCTCGGTGAAGCCCCAGTAGAGCCAGCACAGCGCGTACTGGCAGACGACGGTGAGGTGGAGCAGCGCGACGACGACGGCCATGTGCGCGCGCTCGCCGCGGCGCGGTGGGCCACCGCCCTGCTTGCCGCAGTAGGCGGCGCGGAGCTCGGCGGCGTCGCCGGGCAGGCGCCAGCGGCAGAGCAGGAAGGCGTGGTGGAAAAGTGCCGGGTGCTGGTAGAGGCTCATGAGCGTGAAGAGCGCGTTGAGCACCTGGTTGTTGACCTCGACCCAGTGCGCCCTCGCCGCCGGCGCCGGGAACGCCCGGTCGAGGAGCCCGAGGAGGAGGAGCGCGAGCATGCCGCCGGAGGCGCCCACGCAGAGGAGCCAGAGCAGCAGCGCGATGTTCATGGGGTGCTTGACCCACTCCCTGCACGTCGCGCGCACGGAGCCCCAATCCACCTCCGACGCCGGGCCGCCGCGCCAGAAACCGAGCCATTCTGACCGACGAGGCTTGTCTAGGAGGGGGTCGGGTTGTGGGACGCGGTAGCTGGCGAGTAACGGGGCGCGCGCGGCGGCGGCGTCGCCATTGCTGTCACGAGGAAGAAGCATTGCACTTCGCGGACGGAGCGCCGCCGGCAACTGCGGACAGCACGATCCCAGTGGAGTACTCGTATGTAGTAGTAGCAGTGGATGGTTAAAAGTTGTTTTAAGTTTGGATTTGGAGTAAACGTGGCGGTTTTGGGGAGCGGAATCCATCAACCCCGGCTGCTGGCCTGCTGCCGTCGGACGGTCAGAGTTGGGTGCTGCTCCAGTTCACCTGGAACTGGAAGGAAGGAACGTTCGCTAGTCAATTCTGAACGATTAACTTTCCAGAACTGAACTGTTGTAGCATCGTACAATTGAGAAAATTTCAATGGTGTGGTTTCAGCTGCCGTTCTGGACTTGATCGAAAGATTTCTTCCCCGGGGCCGAGGGAGAGGCGAGACCCGTGCCTGTCAACTGTCATGGTGGTTGGGACTCGGGTGGGCATGGGGTCCCTCGGAGACGCACAGCACAGCCAATCTGGGCTAGCGCAGCCAAAGCAACAACAGTGCTGTGCGCTGTGGCGTGGCGTGGCGTGGGGTGGAGTGGATGCAAAGCGGGAGCATCCTGCCAATGCAAGGATGATTGGAGCAAGTGCCTCGGGGGAATGCACAGATAACTGGAATAAAGTCATTCGTGTGTGAAGGGATGCATGAACTAATGTATAGGTGTTTAGTTTCCGGTGGTGGAATCAAGGGGCACAACATGGATGCTTGAGGGTGTTGCGGGAAGTCATGTCAGCTAAGATGAAATTATCATGTGATGAATGAAAATTCGTGGTGGACGATTTGGGAGCCCCGAGCGTGTCATGCAGTCGGAGAAGTTCGGCTTGGTTGGACTAGATAGTCTGACGGATCGACGTGAGTCGGTTGGTACAGAAGACGGTGGTGAGATTGGCGACAGCGACATAGGAGCGTGATGCTGATGGTGACCGACTTCTGGGGCGTGGAAACACATGGCGCAGGTCTGAGGACTTGTGTGGCTTCCACAAGACTATGGCGCGGGGTTGATTCAAGACGGTGCACATGAGAGCTTGAAGTCGACGAGGCGCGGGGGTGGATTGATCATCTACCATGGAGTCATGTTGAAGGTGGAGCTGGAGTCTGGAGGACTTCACTCGGTGCTAATTGAAGGGCTACGACGTAAGTGCACACAGAGTCGAAGCCTATTCAGTAAGGGGAAAAAGCGAGTGACATGCAGTTCGGACTGGAGCCCAGTGGTCTGATGGAAGTGTGAAATTCGTCATCGTTCGGCGATGATCGGTGGTACTCTGCAGTGAGGGTTGAGTGGTGTGGGTTCGCAACCCTTGAGACTCGACCGGGACAGCGGAGGCTCGACGCGATAATAGCGGCGAGGCGTGCGCTATGCATGGTGCATGGAGACAGACCATGGCTCTGGTGGTCATACATGTGATGAGACAACTGCGAATTTGACTCTGGATGGCTACAAGCAATGGTGAAATTTCTTCAAGTTTCAGACAGGCTGTCAAGAAAGGAGCGGTGATGTTGAGTTCGGGTAACTCTTATGTGTGACACCCAATATGTAAGTTGTTCACTTTCACGCATGTTAGTGATCGGTGTGTGATGGCGTTGACGGATACTCTGAAAGTTGGGAGCACAAACTAGAGTAACAAGGAACTTGATTTTGCTCGAGTGTTGACTGTGGTCATGAAAAGAAGGGACTACAAGTTGCGGGTGGAATCATATGGAGTCTTTGAAGTAGCAGCGGTACTCATGGGATAAGCTCAAGTCCAATGTACATGGAAGTTTGACGCATTGACGAATTCAAGGTAGTGGAGAATATTCGCCAAGGTGGAGTTTGTTAGAGTTGTGTCGAATATAGTGTACAAGGTAGGTTACAGTTGGACTTGTAGTAGTATTGTGTTTAGATAGGATGTGGAGTCGTGTCCTAGTAGGACACTTGTATCCTAGGCCTCTCATATATAGCCGGGCTAGACACACGATGTAACCTATGCCAACATAATAGCACAGGCGCGCAAGGGAGGAGCCGGCGACGTGTGCCGACGCCCGGGTGACCAGGGTGCGCTATTGTGACGGTGTCACGGGGAGGAGCGCCCGTAGTCAGGCCCTGAGATGTAGCCATATCGGTGAACCTCGTTAACAAATCTCGGTGTCGTGCTTGTGTGATTGCTTGGTCCTCGGATGATCGACGGTATGCCTCGGATTTATTCTAACACGGAAGCCCTAATTTTGTTGGACGGTGACAGCGCTCACGGCGCCATCCCCTTCTTGAAGGCGCCGCTTTGGGAACTTTGGTGTTGGGTGACGCTTACGGGTGGTGGGCGACGACGGGGGCTATCCTAGTATGGATCTGCGTCCATTGTTTGGAGATGGACTCGCGTAGGTGGAGTTTGTCGTTTGGCGTCATGATGGCGTCGATGACAAAGGGACCTGCCAAGGTTGGAACCTCAATCTGCTTTTAAGACGGACTAATGAAAGATGGCGACGACGACACATGTGAGTGCGTCGGACCGGTTTGTGCCCCGAACCCGGTATATGGCTCGGTCGGGGCCTTCAGCTTTAGATATTAGGCTTATGTGAGAGGTCTGAATATTTGGCCCAGTTTGTACTTTTTCATCATATGGATTAAAGTAACGACAGATGTTTATAAGATAACGGATTCAGACATATTGTTGTACTATTTTATAAAGTCCTCAAGAATAATTAATAAAATGGTTGTATACATCTTTCAGATGCAGAGACTGGGGGTCATCTTTCTTTTCCAAAAAAAGATGTTTAGTTTTTTATATATTTTTTCCATTTAATTCTCTTTAGAAAGAATGACATGTACCTTTTTCTAAACTCGACGAAATTACTAATGTGCTGGTCTCGGCTAGTTCGTGCCTTATATGGGCTTAGTGTGAGGTGGCAGGTTAGACAAGGTATCCTTTCATTCCTCGGTTGTCGTCGACAAATGTGCCATTTTGGGATCCGGCTTGCCCGCTCCTTCCTCATGCTCTCATCCGTGCACCCACTTCATCCTACGGCTGTCTTTTTCTTTTTTTTTTCTAATCTAATCATCTCTCCCTTGATTTTAAGGGGGTGGGGTCGGGTTTTATTTTATTCCAATCAAATCATGCCACGTATGCGGGAGCACGGATGGGCGCACGCCGGGGGAGTAGGCAAGTCTTGTCCGCCATTTTGACATGTCGCACACTTATTTTGAAGCACTATTTATTGCATAACTATGTTTGTATTTATTTTTTATTTTAGATCCCTCAGGCTGGTTGTAATGGGGAGTATCATATACTAGTATCATGCATATGATACTAGTGTATGATACTACCTCCCTAATGCATAGTATCATATATTAGTATCATGTAGCACTTTATTTATTGTCATGCATGACACAAAGTAGCATAGAATTTATTATAATATGGTATCATGATATGATACTCCACCCTCTCTTTCTTCATTTAATACTATGACACCTCATCAAAATTGTCTAGTTGGCATGCATGATACTAGTTATGATACTACCATTACGACCAACCTTATTATGTTAGGCTGGCCATAGTGGAGAGTATCATATACTAGTATCATGTATATGATACTAGTGTATGATACTATATACATAATGCATAGTATTATAGGTGGTACCTCCTACTTTGATAAATGCCAAGTAATAATTGGGGGAGAGGGCTATCTACAAATAATGTAGTGCACTTTCCAGACCAGAATCACATATAACATGTTAAAAAACCGCACGTCGTATAAAGTCCAACATACTTTTAAATTTGAAGAAGATATCACTACAATTACATATGAAAAATGTCAGTCACTCTGAACTTTTATAAGGCCAAAATCACTGTCTACTTGCTTATATTAAAGTACAACATTGTTCAAACTTTATATTGATGAATATTTGGTAGCGAATTCAGCGATATTCTTGTCGGAACTTCCTCCTTCCCGCATTGCCTCCTTGGCCTTTTGCATCCACTTCACAGCATTTCTTTTGTACTTATCATTTCTCTCCACATCCATCATCTCTCTAATGCACCTCTCAACCTCCTCCATCTTTAGATATCCATTATTGTCCTTCCGTACACGCACACCCATGCTCCATGCACTCTCCATATACTTTGCAATGGTGGGTTGGTCTGCCCAATGCGGAATACCCACAAGAGGTACACCATTAGCAAGTGCCTCTAGTGTCGAGTTCCATCCACAATGGGTAACAAAGCAACCTGCATGTATGTCAGGAATTAAAAACTAAAATATTATTATCACCATCGTTTTGTCATATCTTGTAATAACTTTGTGCAACAAAGAATGAAAAGAAATATGTTGTGTGATATCATACCAATAGCCCTATGTGCAAGAACCTCAAGTTGGGGACACCATGAGACAATTAATCCAATCTTCTCACATTTTTCCCTGAGTTCTTTGGATAACTTGTGTTCCTCGTTGGACCTTACAACCCAAAGAAAAGGTTTGTCAGAATTGCACAGTCCATTGCCAAGCTCCTCTAGCTGGGTTGCATCATAATTAGAGACGGTCCCATAGGACACCAGCACAACGGATGAATTGCTTTGCTTCTCTAGCCAATCCATGCACAGTGCATCACCGTTGAAAAAGTTAAAACCATATGATTTATTCGATGGTAGGCGATCATCGTCGAGGTAGAATGATGGCATGGTTGGGCCAACCATCTTCGCTCTCCATGTTAATTCCATGTACTCTGCCTCCTGCTCAAATGACAATGTGTCAAAGATCAATTTCTATTTGAACCCAACGAAGCAGAATCGAGCATAGGCACAACCTATTCATAGGAGCGAGTTTGTTTGTTCCCAACCACATAAATTTCGCCGCGGAAAAGAAGCATATGGACTCGATTCACAGCTCACACCGGATGTGCCATATTTATTCACTAGGGTAACATATGCACATTCTGTGAAGTAAAATCAAGCATAGACGCATTGAGGCTCCCGCAAATCTCAAACCTCATTTGATGTTATGGGTTCTCCTCATACTATAAATATAAAATATAAACTCATATAAAACTACAATGGTGTACTATATCGAGTTATTGGCTAACAAGTAAATTCGTGTTTTGTATATGTGTTTGATTCACAGGATTCTAAAACCCGGGCATAAGAAAAAACATAGGATTAATTCTAAAAACATAGGATTAAAATGTCATACTCATCTCAATCCTATAGGTTTTTGTGTTGTTTGATTGCATCATAAGAAAAACAAATGAGAATGGATGCTATTCTATGGGAAGTAGTACAAAAAATTCCATCGAAAAAATTCCTATAAGATTCAATCATCCTCTCTTCGTCTCAAAATAAGTGTCTTAACGTCAGTATAACTTTGTACTAAAGTTAATACAAAGTTGAGACACTTATTTTAAGACAAAGGAAGTATGAATCAAACAATCTAACTTAGAAATTTTTTCTAAGGATTCTAATTCTTCAAAAGTCCTATGAAAATCCTTTGAACCAAGGAGCCCTCTTAGCATGGTCTCCCACATTATAAGTTTATAACTTGTCCGAATGTATTTTGGAGGCAATTTTACGCTTACCATTTCTTGGTTATGCCCAAAATGTGCACGCGCTGCAACCATAAACAGCATGTGTGTTGTGTGCAATTTATAATAACCGTGAGAATCAGCCACTTGGGTGAAAAAGACGCGTGATGTACTGCGTACATGACGCGTGGTATTAATTTGGTAGGCTGGGGGGTAAAAACGCCTGGTGGCTCTAGGCTTGCGATCAAATTTTTGTTAACGTGTGTGCTGAATTCTTGGATGCGGTTGGGTGCGGTTAGCATTATTGGGTGCACGTGGGCCAGCGCGGTTTCACGTTGAAAAGTTTGCCCAACCAGAGACCGAAGCGTGCATTAATTTGACACGTGGAGGGGTTTCCTGATGATCGCAGCGATTTCGACGTGGATTTGGGACATTCTTCTGGTTCTGTTGTCGCTTCGTGCATGTGATTTGACTGGGCCCGCCGGTTTTGCGTGGTTTCTGTGGACTCTTCCAAATACTCCTATATCGGAGTGTGCATGCGTGTCCCAGATAGATCGCTATCTCTTCTCTCCGTTTCCTCCGCGTGTCCTTCTCTCTGTGGATGGAAGGATCACGAGAAGCTTCGTGGTTTCTCGATCTGTGCCGCCTACCGCTTATCCACCGCCCCACCCACATGTCGCCGCTCAACCGTCGTACCGCCTATAAAAGGCCCTCTTCCCCATGCCATTCCCATCTTTCGACCATGCCCGTCGTCTGCCACAACCGTGCCAAGATGGGACTCCTCCTGCTTTCACGCGCGCGGATGAGGGACACCCTGCTCTGGCTCCGATCGGCGATCGACTATGGGGTTCAGGAGCAGCAGCAGCCGGACGACGCCACAGCGAGCAGCGATGCCAGCAGCGCAACAACGGTGGACCCGGCAGAGTGGAGTCGTGTCCTGCGAGAAGCGGGCTCAGCAGGGCGCCACGCTATGCGGCCATGTCGGAAGATTCTGTGGATTGCCAAAGGGGAGGAGACAGGAGGAGAGGACTCTTCAGATGGTGAGAGCTAACGACGGTGCGTGGGGCCGACGACGGGCATGGCGAGCAGCGATAATGCAGTGTGTTTGTTGTTCGTGTGCAAATAAGGGGGTCTGCAAGGAGTAGCGAGCAGAAGCAACACAAGACGACGGCAGCGGCACGATGCTCTCACCTCAGGTCTCTCCTTCCCTCGCTCTTCCTCCGCTTCCACTCTTCCTTCTTTTCACTGCTCGATGTCGTGTTGTCGTTGTTTGTCCTGGAAGGCGGAAGCAACGACGGCAGGGGCAGCAGTGCAGGTACAGGTCGCCCACCGTCGTGGTCTGGACATTTGATCAGTCTCGAGCTAACCTCCCCTTGGATTCAATTCTTGCTCCTCGAGTACACTAGATTTTTCCCATGATTCTTTTTCCGGCCTGGAGATCAGCCTAGAAATCCTCCTTCCCCGCTTTGTTCTGATTGTTTATTTCATAGGAGTTCTATTGCTGAATGGTGGCAAACCAGGAGGTGGCGGCAGAATGTGACGATGACGGTGGATGTGATGCGCGTCACAATGGCGGTCCCTGGCAGAGCTCATGCCGTTTGAGCTCGACACCGCAACAACTGCGGCCTCTGTGTGTCAATCGCCACCACCTTGATATTAGTATAGAAAATCAATATTTTATTTGTTCTTCGTATGAATGGCCAACCCTATATGAATTCAGGTTTGGGGATCTTGCTTCATATCCTGTTTGAAACTTGGAATTTTGATTGTCAAGCATAGCGTTACTTTCACGGTCGCCTGCATATTTTTCTGGTGGCTTACAAGGCAAAACACACATCATGGAATGCAGGGAGAACACAAATTTATTTTGCTCTTTGTACTTCTATTAGATAGGCCATACTGCAGGAAGAATGTGGATCTATGTTGCTCTCTCTACTTTTATTAGATAGGGCAAATTCTGTTTGTTTCATTAATGTCTTCGTTACTGACGGTACTGATATGTAAATTTAACATCTGATACCATTAGAATTGGCCCTCAAATTGCAACCAAGATTAGAGCTGCCTGCCTCGGTCTGTGCAAGAACTTTTTTACTTTATCTATTTTGTAAGAGCACTACAGTCTACAACAGTTGTTTGGAAACCCCAAATTTGAGATTTGGTGAGAATGAATGTACGTGTTTGAACCTTTCTGCAGAACCTGAATCTCATGATGGTACAGAGAGGGAAGTATGCCAGAGATAGACATGTTAGTTTATAAGTATATCAGAATACAATCATACAATGCAGAATTGGCCTGTTACATATTCTACTCATCCCTCCCTCCCCCACAATCCATTGGATTGCATATGAAGAATGTCATTAAATAAGAGGTGGAAGGTCAAATCGGCAAGACTCCTTGTGAAGACCACTAGCCAAACAATCGGACTTCTTTTTAGCCGGTCTAGATTCAGTTTGTATAGCTTAGGTTTTGGCACTATCTTTTTGATATTTGAAGTCAATTCTATGATTTCTTTCACAGATGTGCCAAGACGGGCAAGGACACCAAGCGGGGAGGGACATCGCCCAACACATGTCAGTTCTGAGATCCTTCTGGGCACTATTTCAATAAGATCTGATAAATTTTACCATTTCCCTATATTTAAAAAATCTTACAGTTCAGTTCAAAAAGAAGGGTATTATATGGTGCATAAATTAGTTGGCCCTGGTCCGTAGGCACTAGGCACCTAAGTGAGGAACCCAAAGAAGTGTTGTGGTAGTACAGAAATGGCAGTGTGCCACCTAAATTCTTGGATGATATTAGGCAGTGACTATGCATGTTATCTTGAGGTCTTGATTTTTTAGTAGGATGTCATGTGCTCTAAATATTATTTTCAGTAATAATGAAAGAATATAGGTGCCAACTGTAAATGTCTGAGAAAAACTTACCCCATGGAGATGCATCTAAGTGCCACGTGAGCTTATATTTATATCAGCCGAACTAATTTTATAAATTGTTTCTTCTTCATGAATTTATCAATTAGTTTTATTAACTCATTGACATCGTCAAAATAAAACTAAATTTATTTTGTATCTCATTCGCTACTCTCCAGATCTGAGCTTCTCCTTTTTGCATTCGCAACAAAGAAGAGAAGAGGTGGAGCTAGCATACCTGCAGATGGGCTGGTGACGGTGAGGTCGCCCGCAAGTACACCCAACTCTGGCTGAGGATGCCGGCTCCTGCTTCCTGTGGTTATGGAATATGTTGCTTTGTGGCTATTGGTTAAAGAATAGATAGTCAATTTACCTAAGTTTTCTTCCAGGAAAATTCATTGGATTTTGAATAGCTGATATATATATATATATATATATATGTCAGTTGTCATGTAATGTATACGTCGTACTTTTGGAATACTTACTTTTCCATTTTTGTGGAGGTGTGATGTAGACAAGTATCCAGCCATGCATGATGAATATGATTAATTAAGTTTCTCTCCTTTTGGGTCGTACAATCATCCCTCTGGCTCATAATGTATAGAGTTGTGTAATGCCTGCTCCTTGCTAAATATTCTGTTGCAAGTATCCAAGAAAATTGATGTTGCGCAAGAAGAGGTTCCTACAAAATCAGATTAGATCTGCTGCACCTTTTGGGAGTTGATGGATAGTTCTTCTTTCATTTTTCTTCTCAGTAACCAATAGTGTTTAATAATGCATTGAATTAATATAGGTAATTCGATGGTAGTTAACTAAGCTGAATAGTAGAAACTTTTCGGCCAATATATGTTAGCAAAAATTATAATGTGTTATTGTTCTTTGATTGAAAAATTCCAACATATACACGTGACGTATCGACGGGGCGCGGCGTGGCGGGCACGGCTAGTTGTGGACGGTTTCTTCAAGCTTGTATACAGAGAAAGTCTATCGTCCTACAGACGCTCATGTGATTTCGTCTTTACAGAACCCATCGAGTGACTAGAGCAGAGAAGTATGGCTCACCTTTGGCTCGAGGTCGCGGAATGAGTTGACGAGCACGTCGTCGGCGTCCTCCAGCCCCTCGAACTGCCCAACTGACACCTTGAGGAACAAAGGCTGCGACTCCGGCACCGCCGCGAACGGCGGCATGTCCTCCGGCCCCAGCTCCACGCCGAGCGCTCCTCTCGCGAGCAGCGCGCGCCCGTCCGTCGCCGGCAGCGCCAGCCGCCCCGCCCACAGCTCCCCGTAGACGACGTCCACCGCGCACGGCTGGGAGAAGAAGGCCGCGGCCGCGACGCCGGACGCCTGCGCCACCCGCCGCGCCCACGCCAGGTGAGCGTCGTACACCAGCACGCGCACGGGCCGCCCCGCGCGCGCCTCCGACAGGAGGAGCTCCCGCAGCGTCTCGGAGCCCACGGCCGCCAGCCGCGAGACGTACTCCGCCATGTCCGGGCACGAGGCCATGCCGCCGGCGTCGCAGCCGTCGGAGATGGCGGCCACGTCGAAGGGCGCGCCGGGGGGCGGGGTGGTGGAGAGCACGTAGCGGGTGGCGACGAGTGTGGGGCGGAGGCCGTGGTACGCCAGGCGGCGGCCGAGCTGGAGCATCGGGTTGGTGTGGCCCTGCGCCCCCGGGTACGGGAGGAGCAGGACTCTCGCAGCACCGCCGCCGGCTCCGTGGCCGACGCTCGAGCTGGTGGTGGCTGTCGCCGCGGGGACCGTGGTCTCCATGTTTCAGCTCTGTTCTTGGTTTCTTTGGTGGGATTCCTCTTTGGTGTTTGGTGTTGCAGATGTTCCAAGGATGGATAATAAATAGGCGTCCAGGCAGTGTGGCGCCCAAGTTTCTCCCTGGCAAGGTCAAAGTTTGTGGCACGCGCGGCGAAACGGGATTTTGCCCTTTAGCCTGCTACCTTGATTCTTGTATATCCATGCTCAGCCGTGGGATCGCTCTGGGTGTGTTTTCTGATGGCGAGGGAAGCAACGAGGAAGGTGGTGGTGGCGGTGGCGGTGGCATTCCACCTTCCCACGGCAGAACAAATCAACCTAAGCTTTAAAAAAATGCGCAATATAATTATGTTCATCAAGGCAGAGAGCATTGACGTGCTCAAATGAAAAGGCAGAGAGGAAGGTGACACACAATTGTTAATTATGTATGCAGACTCATTGATTCGCGGTCGGTTAAAGATCCCACTACTTTTGGATTGCACAACACTACGTACTTCTTTTGTTTTTATTTACTCCGCATACATATTTTTTTAATCAAATTTTATAAAGTTTAACCAAATTTGTAAAAAAAAACAATGGTAATGTGGAGATATAAACTTAGGTAAAGTTTCGCGAGAAAACCTTTGTTAAATTTCGCAAAGTTAATGGTATCATGGTCAGTGGCGGAGATACAACAAAATGCCAAGGCGGGCCAGACTGGGCTTTGAGTCGTACATAGGCACTGTTTTACTCACCGAACTACTCTTTTACTCATGCAAATGCTTTGGACTGGGCGGGCCGCGTCACAGTTTCGCCCTAACGCAACTCCACCAGTGATCATGGTTAATGTTCAACTTGATATTAGGTATAAATTAATTGCAAGCCAAACATGTTGAGCCCTCAATGTCGAAACAATCTAGCTCATTGGGTTGATAATGGTCGAGATCAATTTGAACTACCTCTTTCATGTCTTTTTACATTGACTAGCAAAAGAGCCCATGTGTTGCAACGGGAGAGAAAACATAACACACGCTCTTAACTCAACAACCATCACTCAAGACCACAATAGATCCATCTCCTTTATTTTTGCAAGGCATCATATTTGTGTTGCCGCTTATCCTCCTTCTCATCCTCGCCGGCGATGGCCTCGGTGTTCACACAAAACAACAAAAAAACATGTGTTGAATATGGTTAATCCTAAGGCGTCTCTCTCTCCCTCTCCCTCTCCCTCTCCCTCTTCCTCTCCCTCCCTCTCTCTGTAGCGACCAGACCTCAAACTGTCCAATCTCTGTGCTCAGGTGTCATCCCTGGATCAGTAATGCTGACACCACACAATAATTGAAGGATTTATAACAGAGTAGCAATCACACACTTATTACATCGAGTGTCTCAAAAGAGAACTTATTACAATAAATATGGCTTAAGGCCATCTAATAACGATAACAGCGGAAAGCTTGGAAGATAAGTGAGTCCATCAACTCCAACGGCATCACTAAGTATAGAACCACGACCTAAAGGCACCTTAATCGTCGTCTGAAAAGTCTGCAACATTAACGTTGCAGTCCGAAACGGGTCAGCACATGGAATATGCTGGCAAAGTAACACATAGAGAGTAATGGAATAAAATAAGCTGTTCTATATGCATATATGGCTGATGGAAAACTCTATGGTTACTGCTTTGCGTAAAGCCAATTTTTTCCTACTGCAAAGGAATAATTTTTATTTAACTATCATGGTAGTTGTTAAACATTGAGAATGGTTGACAGCATTCTCAATCCCAATTAAGTATCATCATTAAAAAAAACCCAACAAAATTAATTTTAGAGTAACATGATGAGATTCAAATGATAATCCAGGTACTAGATACTCAAGATGTCCATAACCGGGGACACGACTAATCATGATTAGTTTATACACCCTGCAGAGGTTTGCGCACTTTTCCCCACAAGACTCGATCTCCTCCGCTGGGATTCTCGCACTACACGATGTTTGAGAGATGGATGACCGAGACATAGTCTTTCAGAAGCGCTAGCACCTTACGAACGGGTAGACTATACCAACCTACATCCCCTACATCTGCTAGTCTACCACTGTAAGAGTTCGCACGACTTAGTCAACTATGCTAGAGCCCATAATAGCTTGTGGCTGCACACGGAAGTTTCTAGTATGAATAATCTCATGATCCCTTTGAGTCTGGGTGGCGGTCCAAAAGAAAACAGGCAATCGCTGGAATACCCAGGTGCCTCAATCCACCCAGATGTGTGTTTAGGTTGCCACCTTAGATAAACCTTTAATTAACAATCTCACATATGTCATGGATACACTCACCCAATCCACGTCTACTAGCATAGCATGGCATAATAAGCAAACGTAAGAGTAACTCCCAAAGGTTTGATAATAAACAGGTAATAGGTACTACCTCATCTACTTCCCGAACCCACAATTTAATTAGATCCTAATCATGCAATGTGTGAGGATTGATCTAATGCAATAAAACTGGGTAGTAGGAAGTATGATCAAAGTGTTACTTGCCTTGCTGATGATCCAGGAAACCTAGCGATTCGAAGTAGCAAGCGGCGCACTCCGGGTACTCTATCGCAAACAAACAAGCATACAATAAGTACTCAACTAATGCATAGGTAAAACACGAATAAAAGATCTAACCAGAAAGTTTAACTTAAGAACTCCGGTTGGCAAAAAGAATAAAAACAAACGAAGCAACGAAGACAAACGGCAAAAGAAACAAGCTTCGTTTACTATTCTGGATCTAGGGCAATTTTTACAGTGGCAAAAACTTGTTTGAGTTGGTTAAACGAAAAGAGGGTTTCGAGACAAAACTCCAGGCGCTTAAATCGCCTGATTCCGATAAACGAGCGAAAAGTTAAACTAGAACGAACATCAGATCGGGGATCGCGATCAGAAAAACCACGTATTTAATCCGAGAAAAAGAAAACGACG